TATAAAACCTCCCAAATACTTTTTTGAAAGGAAATTAAGGTTACTGGTATAGGCAGAAATATGGGCTAATCATAAACATGAACTCTCATGAACATACATGACATTTAGAGACGCAAAATTGGATAAGCTCTAGAAATTATCGGCCCGGCATGGCCTGGTGGTTAGGGCACTCGACTCGCAATCTGAGAGTCGCGGGTTCGAATCCCCGTCACACCAAACATGCTCGCCCTTTCAGCCGTGGGGGCGTTATAATGTGACGGTCAATCCCACTATTCGTTGGTAAAAGAGTAGCCCAAGAGTTGGCGGTGGGTGTTGATGACTAGCTGCCTGCCCTCTAGTCTTACACTGCTAAATTAGGGACGGCTAGCGCAGATAGCCCTCGTGTAGCTTTGCGCGAAATTCAAAAACAAACAAACAAACAATCCAGACTTATTGATCAATGTCAGCGTAAGAATCTATTTTTAGAATACTTCTAAGGTTCACAAAATCATTCCAAAGTTAAGTACTCATGGCCAAACCACTAAGTCCCTAAAAGTATTAAACCCAAAATTCTTACTAAAAACTCTACCACTCCTGATTTTTAATTTCAACGTTTGCAGATGGTCTGTTTCGGGTCCGCCAAGAAAACACAAAACCAAAACGAAATATCACTAAATGCAGAGAAATATATTTCCTAGAATAAAATATCTTGAAATCAAAACTGTATGAGCTTCGCGAGGGGTCAGCGGTGAATTTGAGGGATTATAACGCTAAAAATATGGTTTCGAGCAGAGCAGAGATGACCTATCGTGTAGTTTTGTGCTTGATACCAACCAAACAAACTATATTCGGGGAATTCGTATTAGAATCATGTGATTTATTCATCTAAACCAGTGTTTCCCAACCTTGGCGATACCGCCACCTAGTGGTCGTTTTTAAAATTCAGGGGGGCAGTAACCATTTAGGGGGCGGCCAGAGGGTTTCAAACTTATATACTCTTCTAGTACTAATACAAAACATATAAAATATCCCCTTCTCTTACCTTCCGCCCCCCCCCCAGTGGCACAGCGGTGTATTTCTGCGGACATACAATGCTAGAATCCGGGTTTCGATACCCGTGGTGGGCAGAGCACAAATAGCCCATTGTGTAGCTTTGTGTTTAATTACAAACAAACAATCACGTGTGTGTGTGTTATTTTTTTAATATTACAAGATATTGTTTATATATCAGTACAATTTTAGAGAAGTCGGAGGTTTCATTTTCGCTATCAAGGGAAGTGTAAAGCAGAACACACATAAAAGTTCCACATTTTAAATAACTCAAAAACTTACATTTAAAGTCTCTTCGCTGAAAAACAAAGCAAAAACACGTATATACTCCCACTTAAATTAATGGGGAAAAATTCTCCAAAATACTCCTACGATAATTTTCATGAATCGATCAATTGATTTTCAACACTAGACCCAGAACTTGGCTCTTGAAACGCATCATTACACAATCAAGAAAGGGTTCATTGATTGGTTCGTGACTAATAGGTCGATTTCTCACACAATTCTTCTGTATATTTGAATATAAACGTATAGAACGCGTTTCTTTTACACGTACTGTATTACAAACTCTACACGAGTACCTCGCTAAGTTTACGGACTTACAACGTTAAAATCCTGGGTTCGATTCTCCACGCTGAACAGAGCACATACATACCACTGTGTAGCTTTGCGTTGAAATAGAAACGAAGAACTATCCGGGTTAAAGCATAAACAGCTGTGATTTGTTCACAGGTAAGAGTTGGCGGTGGGTGCTGTTGATTAGTCTAATTAGTTGAAGATTAGATACAGCTAGGTGCAGATGACTCTTTGTGTAACTTTGCGCGAACGTTCTTAAAAAAAAACGTAACCGTTTTTTGTTAAGAAAATTGGGTAAGATTTTGGACAGTGTATATTCAAAAAGACTTACTTTAATACACTTCGGAAAAATATTTTTCGACATTAAAAGCTTAAAATATTCATTGACTTTTAAAAGACAGATTACAAGACGAGTGACTTACCTTAACTTTAGGTTGAAAGTAACGAAACGAATTCTCTTTTAACAAGTCTGACACCACAGAAAATGTTGAAATCTATCCTGCTTCTTGATGTATAGGAAAAACATGTTAGTGGCTTCTAACATCTTTCTTTAAAAGTGCAACATTTTGAATGAATCCAAGATGCTCACGTTCTTCATTTCGCATCCTCTTAGGATTCAGCCGCTCTTTTATGAGTACAGACATGTACTGAGCTGTAGCTTTTGGGGCGCCATGATAATGATGGGGACAGTTAAAATCATATTCGACAGTCGAGTGCTGAAGTTTAAGACTGCGACTGGAGTGAGGTTGAAGTTTAAAAATAGTACAAAATGAACTTTCTTCTTTAGTTGTAAGATATTAAAGAAATGAAAACTCTCAAACACGACTTTTGCAACCGACAGCTAAATCAATTAAGTGACTAGAGTATGCTGGCACAGCAGTATGTTTGCGGACTTACAACACCCGTTGTGGGCAGAGCACAGATAGCCCATTGTGTAGCTTTGTGTTTAATTCCAAACAAACAAAGACTAGAGTAAAGAACGTTAACTTTCAATATATCACGAATTATAATGTGTTTGTTTCAGCAGATGTAACAATAGGCTAATATGGTAAGACTAATTTTTAAAGCCACCTGAGTATAATAAGTTTATTTAAATGACAAAACGGATTATACCCTCGTTGGCATTTAATAGTGCCGGTTGAAAGAAATCGTATTTTATGTGTTGGAATAACAAACATGAATGGATGTACAAATATTTCTTGTTTAATAACATTTGTTATTCGATTTATTTATTCTCTAGAAAACCAAACCTCTGTCTTGACTTTTGCATAATATCGACACAAGATGCCCTTCAGTATCAAGAGATTCGCTATGCATTGCAGCACCAGCATGCCATCTGGATCTCGATCTGACGAAAACAAGAAAAATGCTCAACCAAATGATCAGAGGAGGCCAGCGTCCTCTAGTGCCAGAAAAATTATAAAAAAGTCCGCGTCACAGGAGGAACACAAGGGAAAGCAGACGTCTAGTCAAGGACTTCAGTCTAGTCACTCAGTGGATTCGGCAGAATTAAAAAGGCTTAGGAAACAGCAAAACCTAATCCATCGGGATGAAGAAAGTAATGAAACCGATAGAAACGGAATTGTTTCAGTTAGACCAGCTGGTGAGGAAAGTAGAAGAATACCACGTGACGCGTTGCGACGAACCCAACGTGACTTTCAAGATAAATCAAGCTGTGATCAAAGCTCAGCGCTCCCTGGTAGATGGCGCGCACCCGGCCGAATAAGAAGTACTGCTGAAGCTCGAGGAATGTACTATGATGAACAATCAGAGGACAACGGCGAAGACAGGAAACTCTTCATGAGACGCGATGGAACTCCACGCTATTTTGGTGAGTAAAACTGTTGTTGTTTTTGGGGGTGGTGGGAAGAAAAAGGTTAAGCGTATTTAATATATATATATATATATACAATAAACATACAATTACAAAATGAAAACTTAAGATTTTTGTCTGTAAGTGGGTGAAAGTAGTCAACAACCACAAAATACGCGCAAATGCAAACAATGAAGTACACATATCAGGCTTAAAAATTTCATTTAAATATGCGCAAAGGCAAACAATGAAGTACACATATCACGTTTAAAAATTTAATTTAAATATGCGCAAAGGCAAACAATGAAGTACACATATCAGGCTTAAACATTTAATTTAAATACGCGTAAGGGCAAACAATGAAGTACACATATCATGCTTAAAAATTTAATTTAAATATGCGCAAAGGCAAACAATGAAGTACACATATCATGCTTAAAAATTCAATTTAAATACGCGCAAAGGCAAATTATATATGAATAAAAACATATTTCAAGAAACATATAAATACACCTTCGCTGACGATGAACCCACTTTGAGATTAATAATGCTTGGAGACGGCTTGAATGAGGAAAAACTTTAATATAAGTTTAACATAACAGCAAATGTACAACGTTTC